CACCCCAGCTGGCCTCTCAATGCCCCGCCGTGGCGGCCCACTCTGCCCCGCGGCGGACCCCCCATCGCTCACCTTTACTTTGATCAGCATCGTGGCCCAGTTCCCCGCGACCCGGAAGCACAACCCACCGCACGACTCCTCACCCAGCAGCCCCCGCACACCTACACCTACCCCCGCCCCGGGAGCCACCAACGTCACTTCCTGTCTCGCGGGGCAGCACGGGGTTGTAGTTCCCTACCCGCGGCTGGGGAGTGCAGGACTACATTTCCCAGCAGTGCTCGCGCCCGTCCCGCCACTGGGGGCTGCCCCCTGCTCGGCGCGGGGCCTACTGGGAGCTATAGTCCGCGCGGAGCATGACGTCACTACCCTGTGCCAGGGAGGTGCGGCTGAGCCCTCACGAGTGCAGCGGCCATGATGGGTCCTGGCAAGTGACAGGCACAGGTCAAAGGTCACTGTGGGGGCAGAGGCCAGAGCAAGACCAAGCTCAGTGCTGATGGGGCACTGCGCTGTGGGATAGATATGCTCCACAGCAAGAGCAGACACGACCCCCCCCAAGTGTACTGTGGGAGGCAAACTAGTCATATCCCCTACTCTTTGGGGGCTCATGGGAGCATTGGTGGGGTGGCATGGACCTACAGCCCCAGGGCATTGTGGGACACAGAGGGAGTCCCAGGGCATGATGGAAAGGTGGGCGTTGCACCAGCAGCAGCTGCCCCCATGCATCGTGGGAAACAGCAAGCTGCCCTGCAGCATGATGGGAACACTAGGGCCAGCATCTTGTCAGACATGCCACAGCCATAAGTGCCCTGGTGCATGTTAGGAGAGGGCCCCACAGATGGTGCACTGCAACCCTTGACCTCTGCCTGTCCCGTGCCTAGCCACCTTCAAGCCCATAATGACCTCTGCGTAGGTGGACCCCGCGGCCACCCCAGCACAGGCCAGATAGGGATTGTTGAGATACCCAAGGCAGGTGCAGCCCCAGTGCCCAGGGCAGGTGATGAGCTAACCCAGGGAATCAGTAGCAGGCATTTCTCCTTGTAGAGCATCATCTTCCGCATTGTATTAGGTATCCAGGTTGTAGCTGTATTGATCTAGAGGAAGAGGTAATCAGAACTCGTAGTAGAGATAATACCTTTTATTAGACCAACAAGATTTTTGCAAAATATTTCTGTAATTGCAAGCTTTCAGGCATAAACACCCTTCCTCAGGCATTAGAGAAAAGATTGTAAAAGTTCTCCTGAGTAGAAATGAAAGTTCGTATTTCATAGGGTTTCACAGAAGAGTCAAAGAGATGGAAAAATCCTCTGGGCAATCAGTTCATAATTGGTATGGAGCTGCTCACCTGCTGTGAGGATCTGTGATGATGCAAATTACTTTAAAACAAAGGCAGGAGCAGGATCTCAGGTTTCAGGTGGGCAGAGTTGCTTCGGGCTTGGGAAAATATGAAGATCCAGTTTTTACAATTTTTTTCTCCAGTACCTGATGAAGGGTGTTTTTACCCAAAAGTATGCAATTAAAGAATTTTTTTTGCAAAAATCTTCTTGGTTTAATAAAAGATCTCCAAGACAAGTCCTGATTGTCACTGTACTAGTGCTGCCCAACTGCAGCACTAGAGACCATGTGATCAGCTAACCCAGCCAATCCACAGCAGAATCCATGACCACCTAGGCTCTCCCAGCACTGGGTGAGATGGGAACCCAGGGAACCCAGTATCACAGGCCGGGGCCCTCCATCCAGCATGCCCCCACAGATGCCTCCTTGTCATTGGTCAGTTAACAGCAGCCATGGAGGCCATATGATCAACTAGCCCAGGCAATCAGCAGCAGGGATTAGCTCCATCCTTCCAGCACAGGCAAGTACCTGGCCAATGGGAAGCAAGAATTCCTCCACCCATCCCTCTTTCTCATCAGCTGCCCAGCCAGTGAGTAACAAGAGTCCCACCCTTTAGAGACTGCTCCTGGGCCAGCCCCACACCTCCATAAGCAAGCAAGACTCCAGCAGGGGTGTGGCAACCACTGCCCATGTTTATTGGGTGTCAGCAAGAAACACTGCGTGGTGCCTCTGGGAAGCCAGTGTCTGTGCCCCACAGCTGGGGGCTGCCCTGTGAAGGCAAGACAGGGTCCATACAGCTCAGGCACCTATGCAGGAAGAGACAGGAGGGTGAGGGTGGGCATGGGGGAGCTGGGGGGTCAGGGCATGGGGAGTGGGTGGGGGGGGCACTCACCCAGTGCTGGGAGAGCCTAGGTGGTCATGGAAGGTGGGGATCAGGGTGTGGTGCTGGGTGTGCTGGCAGGTGGCCTGGGGGGGTGCAAAGGGGAGATATGGGGGATTGGGTGTAGGCCCCAGGCCCACCCAGCAACCCAGGCATACCTACGGCCTGCCTGGGCACCCCAAAAAATGCCAGCCAGAGCCCTTCATCCCAGTGCCAAAAA